CTGTAACAGACTATACCTACTGCATCACTCTTAACCTTTTGTTACTACTTTAAGTAAAAATAATCCTGTTGGAAATGTCACATTTTTATTTTTCATATGTATATTTTTAATTGTTTTTACTTCTACAGATGGGTGCTTGCTTTTCAAAGGTTTTCAATGGCTGTCCATTAAAAATTCATTGTGCAACATCATGGATAAATCCAGATACAAGAGGTAGTATATTACATATATTTTACGCATTTTCCCTCTCCATGGATTTCAAGAGTGCTTAGATGAGCAGGACTATTTCTTTTAAAATAGAGATATTGTAAAATAGATTTATTTATATAAGTAGAAGTTCTTCTTTAATTATGCCACTGCTATCTGAAGTCCAATATTGTTTTTTTTAATTATGTTGAGATATATGGACGCAGTTTTCAGCTTTGATTAAAAAGAATAAATTATATATCAAAGATAAAAAAAATTTTTTTTTTTTAAATCTAACTTCTGGAGGTTCTAGTTGAGATTGATTTCATCATTCACTTGATTTTTTTTCTTCTTTTTTTCCCCCCTAAATCTTTCTGGTCCTACAGGTTTCGGCAACTCTTTATTTTTGAGTACGTTTTAGTGCTTTATTAAATAGCCTGATGAAAGGGATACCTGGTACCATTGTACTCACATTGCCTGCAATTTCACCTTTTGATTATAGGCTGTATAGACATGCTACTGAGCCAGTAAGCGAGAAAATACTTAGGTTTTTTAGAAACTGAAATTTTGGAAGTCAATCTTTTGCAGTTGACATCTTCTCAGTATGAGATGTCTGTCTTATTCGCATGCCTAAATGCAATCCAGGGTATTAATTATGTTCAAGGAGTGAGGCACCCCCAAAGTAATGAGAAAATGTTCCAGTCGATACTGCTGTTGAGGTGCTCCAAAAGAAGGCTATGAATATGTCACAAAATACATGGGAATGTCTAAGTAGGATAATCTATATATGAGGAAATTATTCACATGAATTCTTGCTTATGGTTGTATACTGCTGACTGACAATTCCAATTGTTAGTCACAAAATAAAAGACTGATCTTTACTAATGTCTTAAAACAGCCCCATCCACGAATTTAAGCTTCCTCAGCAAGATTGATTTTCCATGCTTTCATACACCAGAACTATTATAGGTTGGTTTGTTTCAATGTGTGTAATTGTTTTAAGTCTTTTTTTGGTACAGAGCTGCATACTCTTATAAAACACACCTTCCTTAAATCAGGATTTCTAGATTTTTTTTGTTTGTGTTTGCAGATCAGTACTTGATATTTGGTGCAGAAGAAGGTATTTACACGCTGAACCTCAATGAACTTCATGAAACATCAATGGAGCAGGTATATTTCTGTTTTGATATTTTGGAAAAAAATATCTTTGTCACTTTTTTTAGCCACTCAGATTAATGTTATATAATCCTTGTAAATATTGTCTTTACTACAGTTATGTAGGCACTAGCTACACTGAGAATTACCTTAAATGTTTACTATTGAGGATTCCTTTCAGTCATGTTTAAGTTTTTTGTAGGCTGAACCATGTTTAAGTAGGAGATCTGCATATACCCATGTGTTGAACTTCATCATAGCGCATTGTCCTGCAGTTAAACGACTTGTTAAATAGTATGGAATTTCCCTGATACATTTTGGATGAAAGTTTCTATTTTCTTTAAAGCTTAGTTACAAGATAGAATATTTGCAACAAACATTGTGTTTCAGCTACAGGGAAGCAAGGAGATCCTTTATACACTAGATTCCATTCTTTCGGTCTTAAAACCAGCTTTGCTGATGAGACTCAGCTTACTGAATCCCAATTAAAACTCTGTCTTTGCAGAATCTTATAAATAGTAATTTTTTTTTGAGGGGATAGTGGGGAGTGGGAAGGGCCAGTTGCAGGCTTTTCTGTATGGTGTCTTCTCCAGCTCTTTTGTTAATCTCCAAGAGACTTGTTTTCTTTCCTGCCTTCTCCCTAACTTAGGGAGCTATGCGTCTGCCATCAAGATGGAGGAATTTGCAAAAACAGCCTTCACACTGTAAGCTGGAGGCACTGGTGTTTGTTCATCTTCCAGGGTCCAGACCCTGTAGATACGTCTGTTGTGTTGAGAAGAAGGCCTAGCTAGCTTGCATTGAGCTCCATGTAACCCATAATCATATTGGTGCTTGAGTTAGCTAGTTGAAACTTAACTCGGGTACTTCTCTGCTGCTACACTGCAGTTGTAAAACTTACCCTGAGAAATATCTCTAATACTAATAATTCTTGTAGGCCAGGTAGACCAAGGAAAGTTTTGTTTGTTTTTTTTTTTTCTTTTGGTTTGTTGTTTTGGGGCTTTTTTTGTTTGGTTGGTTTTTTTTAAATTGCCAACAAGAATAGGTGTAATGAAACTCATGCTGTCATATCCATCCTTGTATTCTCTAAGCACTGTGTTCTGTAAAGCATTGCCTAGTGAGCTTTTAGGGAAATGTTTTAGTAAGCACATAGAGACGAGAAGAGGTGCTTGTAAAAACAGCCAGTCATGTGTGAAACAGGAGGAATAAGTGACGGTTCAATCAACCTGCAAATTTGAAGTATTGCTGTTCTTCTCTAATCCTCAGATCCAAACCTACTAAGTCACAATATGCTTATGCAGCTACAGAAGTTCAATCAAACTTGCACATTAAATTTGGTTACAGCCAACCTGGTAGATTATTACCATAGATTTTTCTTACAGTGTGTTTAGGTTATGAGAAGACTTCAGGAATAGAATTGCACCCTCTGTGCTAACCACTTATTACATTGTTATTTATGATAACAGGCAATAGGACTTTAATAGCATTTTTAAGTTCTGTGTTTCACTTCATGGTTTGCTCTCTAGGTCTAATACAATTCAGTGTAAAAGCAAAAGTAGTATCCTTGGTTATTTTTCATTACATTCCACTTCACTGATGGACAACACAGAAATAACATACGTTTCCAAGAGTTAGCACAGCTTCAAGATGAATCTCTTGCTCTTTGGCAGAAAAAACTTTCAATTAATTTACAGATCTCTTCAGATCTTTCTAATAAACCAGCAGTGGGGGGCGGGAGGGTTGTCTGGGGTTTGGTTTTGTTTGTTTTTTTTTTTAAGAGCAAAAGAAATGTCCTCCTGAGTGGCCTGTCTAGCCCAATAGTCTGTTTCCTGAAGTGGCAGTAGGAAATGCCCATGAGCTTGGCCACTGACTGCTGTCCATTCTCCTCAGACTCCACTACCGTCATTGAATCAGGGATGTTGAAGGATCCCTGCCTATTTGCTTTTTGTGTGGATTTATGGACCTGTTGGACATGAGTACATCTAATCCCTCGTTTACACTGTTGATACTTTCCACCTCCATGTCCTCTTGTGGCAACAAGCTCCAGAAGTTATGCGAGAGGGGGGAAAAAGAACATCTTTTTTTTTAATCTTTCTTTTGTTTTTTTAAAGGATGTCTTGTTGCTTTCAGTCCCATCTTTCTAGTAATTGTGGGATTTGACAAATAACAATTCTGCCTTGACTGTTTGTTGCATTCCTTGGTCACTTAAATGAAATGTGTAATCATATGCAGATGGAGAGTCCCTTCAAGTGCCAGTTTTAATTGTTTCAAGAGATTTGATCTATCACAGGCTTTAGAATGGCTATGGTTTGTTGACCGTGCTTTGTTTACTGAAGTTTATGTTGTTAAGCTTTTCTATTTTGAAGGAGAAAGTTTGGTGGTTTTTAAAATTTTTGAAAATGGATGGATTGATCTTTATAGTGATGTCTTGTGGGCTAATTATAGTATACGTGAAGACATGAATATAAAATGTGCTAATTGTCTAAATGTTAATGTGTATGTTAAATGTAGTATGTGTACCTAAGATTTACTCTGAATTAACTCTGGAATCCAGGTAAACATTACTTGACTTAAGCTAATTTCTGCTACAAAAAGCAAGTCAATATTAGTTTTGTCCTGTTGTCTATGCAGATATTAATTGATCAACTTAATGTGCTCACATTTTGTGTATACCAAATTGAATGCTTTTCTTTCTTTGTTTTTCCTTCCCTTTATCAGCTATTTCCTCGAAGGTGTACGTGGTTATATGTCATGAACAATTGCTTATTATCAATATCTGGTAAGTTACTGTGCTATCTTTGAGCGGTAGTGCTGGTAAACATTTGGTTTCATATTTGAAGTGTGGTTTTGTTTTCTAATTTCCAGGTAAAGCTTCTCAGCTTTATTCCCATAATCTACCAGGACTCTTTGATTATGCAAGGCAAATGCAAAAGTTACCCGTTGCTATTCCAGCACATAAACTCCCTGACCGAATACTTCCCAGGTAAATACACATCATCAGATATATCAGAATATCTTAATTCTGGGAGTCCAGGATATGCTTGTAAAACTCTGGGAATACCAAATAATGTGGAGCTCTGTTCACAGATTGCCATGAATAACTCATATGGGCATTAATCAGAGGGTAGACCCCTAAATTTACACGAATCAAGATGTGAATATACTCTTATTAGAGAAGTGGGTTTTGGTACATCTTACCGTTTTGTCATGAAGCCTCTTGTTTCTGGGCATAGCTCTTTTCAGGTATAGTCTAGTATGGTAAATCCTGGTTGTACTTGGTGCTAAACAAAATCTAGGGTCAGTATTGTACCTGTGATATTTCAGGCAAGTAGAAATGGTGATCTTGCATTAGTTACTCTGGGCACTATCTTTCCATTCTATTAAAAAAAAAAAAAAAGTGGGGATGTGTAATCTCTTACTGCAGAGGGAATGGGCTCATGGGTTATTTTGAAAGCTGGGAAGAGTAGAACTGGAGTACAGATTCATCATTGGCTAGTCATTTTTCGCAGGCCAGTATAGAAGGTACTTTTGTCCCCAGATGCCTACAGCATATTGTGCATACAGTCCCTACAACTTTATTTACTAACAAGTGCATACAAAATCCTGGAGACTGGGTACAGTGCTGGCTGCCAAACAAGCCTTAGGAGCCCATTCAAATCCAAGAGGAGGAGGTAGTAACACTAATCTAGTTTGCAGAGAAACCTTTGATTCTTAAAGGGCATAGTGAATCACTGGTTCTTCTCATATAATAGGCTTTCTGTTAGGAAATTTTATTATAGAAGACCTGATTCTCTGCTACGTTTAACAGCGTATTAATGTTTAATTCTATGATTCAGGAAAGGCTTCTTGTTTAGTCATCTGCAAACATAATGGTGCAACATTTGTCTGAAAATTGTGTTCTTCCTAGAGGCTAAATTCTAATTACCTAAGAGATAATTTGTGCTTTGAATTGTCTTCTGTGTGTCTGCACCACTGTTCTACTCCTCTCTCTTCTGAACTAATTTTGGCTGGGTGACTTTGGCTTGAGGACTGCATCAGCAGTGGACTAATAACAATAATTATCATAAGGATCATGTGAGAAAACCTTCAGACTATGTTCAGTCTGAAATGACACCTCACCTAAGTTGCAGAGGGCTCAGAAAATTTCTTGTCCAGTCATGTCACTTCCCAAGAAAAATGTAGCACAACCTGAATGTCCGAGTACCAAGGCAGTCATTCAAAGGCAGGAGAGATTCATTTAGATAATACATTTTGCTGGTTTATCCCTTGCTGTAAGGCATCAGGGTAGTAACATTCAGCCAAGCAGAAGTAGTACATCTGAAGTATGTAGAAGAGCATAATCTTTTTTTCCTACCAGACCACAAAGTGTGTTCTTCAGCAAGTTCCTGGATACCATGACAATGAGTGCTACGTGAAAAATGTAGATATGTTAAAAGCAAAGTTTTTGGTAAAGAAAATGCAAAGCACAATAGAATTCAAAGTAATTTGTGAGGTTCGTATATTCATCTGCAAAATGGTCTAAGCGCAATTTATGATACTTGGTAAGCAAACATTCAGTAGCAGAAAATATGATAAGATTACAGCAGAGTGTAATAAGTCTCCTTTCCAACTTCTTTCCCTTGAGTGTCCTTGAGCAGTTCCTTTCAAACCTTTCATGACTTCTTCCAACCAAAATTTGTGGCCAGTACTCAGTTTTCGTGCTGCTTAGTCCTGCTGCATTATCGGTCACTTCTGGACAGCTTAATTTGAAATACTATGCAAGTATCTTCCCAATTCATAGCTTTGACTGCAGCATCTATCTACCACTCTACTTATCCCCATCTTTTCTACAGCATCAAATTAGTTATTTTACTGTAAAGGCTACTGTGGCCAATCTCCATACTGTCTGTCGTCTTCTAGTCTGTACAGAAACACCGATTCCCACTACCTGCAAATAACAACATCTTCTCTGGTTTATCTGATAAATTTTCAAGTAATTGTTTTCATGATTTCCCAGGGAGTGTCCTCTGCACATGAGAAAAGATCTTGCAAAGCTGCTTTCCAGTCCTCCTGTAGACCTCCTCTTGAAACACAGACTGTGCTGCCTATGTTTGCAAAAATTTAAGCTGTTAGTTTGCAAATACTGTGGCCCAGCAAGCTATCCAGTATGGCATCATTTCCCACACCCCTTGGGTCCATGTGTCTTTTAAACTGTGTTAAAAAAAAAAAAAAAAAAAAAAAGAAACCCAGCAGGGCAGGAACCTAAATTCTGAGACCCAATGTAAAAGTCAGATTTGATGGTTCTCAGAGTGACACTGAGGGTTTTTGTGGAGAACGGGAAGGGTGGTCAGAGATGGATTCTCTTGTTGGCCTTTGTGGCTCACTATAATGTCCTTGAGACAAGAGTGGACTTCGTTGTCTGTGTAGTATCCAGCACACGATGCAGTAAGTTACAGCATTACAAAGAAGAATGATCATGGAAGTACGAATAGACTATCCAGGCACGTGTATAAATACATATAATTAAATAGCAAGAGATAGTGGTAAATGACACTTGAAGGTACCGAGGTATCTATTCTTCTCCATTCCTGACTTTTAACTGCGTTCATAATGCTGCATAACTGAGCAGCATCTCAGTGCTAACAGAGGGATCACCGTGTATGTTCTAGGCATATCATTTTGAGAAGAAATATACAAATATATATATTTTTAGTTTTTCTGGGGGGCAAATATAATTTTCCCACCAACAACTTTCTAAAAAGCAAATTCATTCAATTGCTTTAGTTGATCAATAATTCTGTATTTATATCTTGTAGGAAGTTTGCAGTGTCTACAAAGATTCCTGACACTAAATGGTGTCAGAAATGTTGTGTTGGTAAGTAAAGATCTACAGAATAATGCCAAGAAGCAGTACAAATGGTGGCAGTATTAAGATTAGAGTCAGGTTTAAGAGGTAAAGGGAGAAGAGACTTTTGTCATTATTATGAAACTATGCATTTGCAGACAGTGAGCTCCTTCAGGTTAGTCCTTGGATTTAAGCAGTGAAAATTTTCCCATTTTGCTTTTTGTATTTAAAGACAATTCTCAAGAAATGCAGAGAAGCAGAATGCACGTCAAATTTAAACTAGGCCTGAGGAAGAACCTAATCTCCATGGATGGAGTGACTTAAAGAAGTTACCATCAGGCTTAAGTAGCCTGACTTCCTAGCACAAGTTCCAGTTATCAATATTGGATGATAAAAAGCAAGGAGTATTTTCAATTATTTAAGGACAGTGTTGTCTCTGAAGCCTTTATATTGTATGCAAAGTTGACAGTTGTTTTTTTTTTAAAAAAAAAAAAGGCAAACCACAAAACAGGAAAGGTAACTATAGATGATCTCTTGGGGTTGAGCTCTTGTCCCTGGAAATGTTTCACCTGGTGTTCCATAATCAAATGTTTGGTGTGAGGAGTTGTATTATACAGGAGATTTTCAGAGACTTAGTGGTAAGTGAGAATCTGTCATTTATCCTGACAAAAATCTCCGTGATACTGGTAAAACATCTGATGTTTGTTATCATGTTGTCCAGCTCACCTGTTAAAACTTGACTTTTTCTGGGATACAAATCCTCTAGGGTGTGGTAGGGTGTTAACAATATGTACTGTGTACGTCCAGGCCTTGCCCTAATCGACGCACCTAGTCAAGCTGTGAATGTTAATGGCTGCTAAAGGGAACACCCAAAGGGGTGGAGTGACAGGGATCAGACTAGGTACGAATGCTGGCTTTCTGACATGAAAATTAATTTGGAAGTCTGTATGTTTTCAGGTCTCTGTTTATGAAGTGGGAAACCTGGTGGTGTGCTCCTCTGTAATCTTACGGTTTCTGTACTAACAGGCATAGAATTAATTTAACAAGAGTACTGTGAGACTTGGCATTATGGGGGGGAGTTTGCTGTCCTGGCATTCAGAGATAGCTTAGCCTAATAAGCCTGGAGTCCTTCTTGCATGATAGACGTAAGTGATAATTTGTGATGGCAACAAGGGCAGCTGCAAAAGGCAGGTCCAAGGGGAGAAATGATAGATTCCCCTCTCCTGCCCTGCTTATCATGTGCAGCCTGAGCCTCCGTTCCTGCTGGCAGCATAAGTATCCCTTTGGCCTGGGGAAGCAGCAGTGCCGCAGGAGGCAGAAAAAGACGAGAACTTCTGGTCTTGTTTCTCTACCTTACGGGTATTGGTAATTGCGTGTTTTGTGGTTTCTGCTGCTGAGTTCAGCCTTAGTGAGGGTCACACCAAGCATTATTTGCTGCAGTTTGCAGTCGGTTTGACTGATGTTGAGTGACAACTTGGATTAATGAAATTAAGCTTTGATGTTTAAGGTACCAAGGGATTGCTAGTGGATTTCCTTGGCAGTAAGGTAGCATGAGCGTATTTCACTTATGCAACTTTATTGTTCTCTTCTAATTTTTAATTGAGTTCTGACAAACAATAGAAGAAGAGCAGTTGAGTGGAAATACATGATGTCACTTTAAAAATCTGCTGATGTAGAAGCATTCATCAGAGATATAGAGCTCCTGGATTTCAGACTCGCTGTGACAGTACTTGGAAGGCAGGTGCGCAGTTCTCAAGTAACAGTGATTATTCAGTGCCTGCTGGATGACTGTCTGTTTGTCATAGAAAAAGCCATTCTTTAGCAGCTTCTCATGATGATTTGGAGATACCTTAGGCAAATGAACATGGTGAGGCAAGATACTTCAAAAGTGTATGCAGTCAACTATTTTTTTTAAGACTATCTAAAATAGTAAATCCTGCCTACCAGTCTAAAAAAACAACAATAAACTTTATTTTGAGTTGGAGAGGTGAAACATACCACAGTGCTCTTGTGAGAGTTGTGTTTATTATGGTTTATTTGGCACTAGCTACTAGCTGTTCATGCCCAGTGGAAGGGCAGGCCCTGCTCCAGCGTGCTCACTGTCACCATTTTCATAATGTGGATGTTGACTTTTCAGCAGCTTCCATATATAAAAGATTAGAGTGGTGGTGGTGGGTATTTTCCAAAAGTGTATGGACTGTTACTTAGTTGGAAATTGTTTATAATTTGTATTTGCTTAGTACACTAATGTACTCTATCTCTTCTTTTTTGGCAGTGAGGAATCCCTACACAGGCCACAAGTACCTTTGTGGAGCACTACAGTCTAGCATTGTTTTGTTAGAATGGGTTGAACCAATGCAAAAATTTATGTTAATCAAGGTAATATTATGATAAGGTGAAATACTGTCATGTTCAGTTCTATTTATCTTGTAATGACTTGTTAAGAAATAAGTATTCGCCATTTCTTGAGTTACTAGACTTTTATCTTGGTTTCTGTTAAATTACATTGAAAACAGCTATTTAAATGTGTAATATGTATTAACTGACTCAAAATATTTATAGGAATGTTCTTGGTTTTGTGGTGCCCTTCAGTTAAAGAGCAAAGCCCTTCTCTCAATGAACACTGCCTTTTAGTTGCAGAGTAAAAAAACTCTGGCTGACAGACTGAGACATGGTGGAGTGGAGTGATAACGTGGGTTAACAGCGGGCTTGTTCCCATACCAGAGAGAAGGTGGCCATTTATTCTATGCTTTGTGATACTGGAGGTGCCCAGAAATGCTTGTTATCTCCCCATCTGACACTGCCTGAAGAGATGGAGCCAGGGTGGACTCATGTTTGTAGAGAGGCAGCTGCTATAGCTTCATGAGCCTGGGAAACAAGGCTTAGAGGCTCCAAAGCCAGGGAGAGCAATGACGGGTATAGCACTCTTGTCGTCTGTGGGCAGCTGCACAGGACACATCTGATGAAAGACATCCTATCTTATTTTAACTGAATTGGCTTGAAGACACTCTAAACTTCTTAACTCAGGCTTTTTGTATGTATCCGTTACTGTTATCTGAAGAAGTGAAGTAAACTTGATGTTACAAAATGTATGACATAAAATTTACCATACAGTTTAAAGAGCTAATAGCAACTCAGACTAAACTTGTTTCCCTTCTAATAGCTATTTTTGTTTCTTAATCTAGCACATAGATTTTCCTGTACCTTGTCCGCTGAGATTGTTTGAAATGCTGGTAGTCCCTGAGCAGGAATTCCCTTTAGTTTGTGTCGGTGTCAGTAGAGGAAGAGACTTCAACCAGGTGGTGAAGTTTGAGACTGTCAACCCAAATTCTACCTCTTCGTGGTTTACAGAAACAGGTTTGTGTGCTGTTTTAATTGCATTCAGAAATGTTCCTTGCTCTTCTATTATAGCTGAAGCACTAGAAAGGTAGTTTCCTCTGAGGAAACTAACGGTTAAATTATTAAGGCTAAGTGATCATTGTAAGTTCTCCGTTTAAAGGGGTATCTGGTTGTACCTGCTTGCACGTGTGCTTTTTTTTGGATGTTTCTACTTGTTGAACTGGTTGGATTTCTTGAGATTTTGAGTATAGCAGAGGATGGAGTTATGGCTTCTTGCATTTCCATCAATCAGGCTGTACCACTGTGCTGTTCTGTGCTCTACCCTGGCACCATGGCTTCTGTTTATTAAATAGACTTTAATAGAATTGCACTCTGAGGAATTTCTTTCAACACCTCTGTAGGTGTGGTTTGGCTCTCCAGCGATAAGCCAGTGTGGTTAGAAATGGTGTTACCAGCCTCCTGCTGAGAGAGAGCATATTTCTAGTCTTCCAATGTTTATGGAAAGTGAAAGGGATTAGGACCACTGGTAGCAGGAAACCAAGTACCTGTCCGTCACTGTCTGGTCTCTATGAATGAGGAGGCCACCATCTGAGCAACAGTAAAAATTCTCTTAAGAAGGAACTGTGATAAGAATTACTTTTCTAGACTTGTGAGGTTCCCCCCCTAACCTAGATACAGTAGTGAGCTGACCCCAGTCATAGCTTGCAGGTTTAGAAGCAGTAAATAGCTTTGTAATTATGAGGCATAGAGCCCTTGTTGATCCATGATGAATTTATACATAGCCCTGTGCTGGCATATACATGTGTACGAGTCCGGCTGATTGCGTACTGTGGAATTCACTAAGAAGTAGTTTCCACTAGGAAGATGCCTGCTGACTTTTCTTGCTGCTGAAAAGTGTGTCAGATTTTGACACAGTTTAAAGCATAGTTACAAAAACGAAGTGATCAGTGGATGGCCAATTAGTGCACTTTACTTCAGAGTTAGTGCATTTTATTTTCAAACTCATACATCTATTTATGTAACTGTGTGACTTCAGTAGAGTCTGTAAAAGTAGCACTTTTATGACACAGTAGAGTCCACTAGTAGCACTAGCTGAAGAGAAATTCTTTGACCCATAATATCCTGTTGTCATTCTTCTCTCAGTGTTGTCTGCATCGGTGTGTAAATACAAGAATAGTAATCCCTTCATGGTTCCTTTTTTTTTTTTTTTTTGTGGAAGATTTAACATTGCGTTGTGCCTTCCAAAAATACTTCTTTAGCTTCCTTGAATCATTTGTGTGTTCTTGTGTTGTGTCTATGTTGTTATTTTCTCCTCTTTGTTTGACTCTAATTTAAACCCTCATGTTGTGTTGGTCTATTCCTGTCCCCTGCTGGCAAGAGAGAGATAATGCAGTGAAACAGATTTATCAGTGTTTTTAAAATGAGGAAAGTATGTGCCATATGGTCACAAATAGCTTCCATCAAATAGTAGTTTTCATTTTTTGACATTTGACATTTTTTTGTAAATGTCTGATAAAGATGTTTTAAAAAATTAGCTGGCAGAGACTTACTGCAGGGGGTTTCTCCCCTTGCCATCCTTCTCCTGTTAGCTTCAGCCAGTGCAGTGCATGTTTCCACATCGCATAATGTGGTTGCACAGATGTATATCCTCCAGTCCTTCTGTTGCATGCTTTCATCATGGCTATATCCACCTTTGGTTAAGATCATGCATTAGAAATTGGTTAAGATCATAAATGTATACCCTCCAAGACAAACAGCAAAAAAGAGGTGGAGGGACCATCTCAAGGAACACATTACTGCCATCATCCTTGAGGAGTTTTTTGCTTCTCAACAGGACCATGGATTTTATTATTTAACTGAAAGCTGCTTTTGTATTTTAGGTAACATGCGCTAATTTCTCATCTCTAATAGATTTAATGAGTTTCTCTTTTCTGTATGAAAGAATGCCTACACAATTACTGGCAGTAATGCTGAATTAGTAAGAGCTGCTTTTTGTGTAATTTTAATGTTAACAAACAAATGGACCAAAACTACACTTCTCTTTTGAGTTGACGTGTCCACTAATCATTTGTGGGTCAGATCCCCCCGTTTGCTGTGATGGAGACTGCTGCAGCTGTAATCCAGAAGAGAGGAAGGTAACTCTTCTTTTAATAGTTTGGAGAAGGAAATAATCCCCTATTTTTGGAAGTCTGAAAACATCAGCAAGAATTAAGTACTAATATAAAAATCAGAAATAAAGAAATTTAGAAATAAAGGCAGAAGAAAAATGGAATGAAACAGCATTCGGGTTTAGTGTGGACAGTCTCATATATCTGCCTTTTTTTGCAACAGCAATATTAAATTACACCAACAGAGAATAAAGGGAGAACAATGTACACGTGAGTTTGCTTTTGTGACATGGCTCAGAAAAGGCTGGATTAAGTCCATACTTTAATATTACAGCTTCAGTTTTCCTGTCACAGTCAACATGTTGGATAAGTGGACATGCCTCTCTTCTCTTAGAGAAATGTCACTGGTAAGATGATTATTTTAAGTAGATAAAAACACATAAACCCATTAAATTGTCTCAATCTCTAGAACTTCCATTTCAAATTTCATGGTAATTTGTGTTATGAACTAACACTGCCATTGTTTTATAGACACTACGGAGACAAGTGTTGTACATGTAACACAGCTGGAGAGGGATACCATTTTGGTGTGTTTGGATTGTAAGTTTTAGTATCAACTAAATATATACGTATGCATGTGCATGCATACTGTCTGTCTTCAAATTAGGTCATATATTGAAGATTAATTCTTGGTTGACATATCGTATTTATTGTCTAGGCTGCATAAAAATAGTGAATCTGCAGGGCAGGTTAAAATCCAGCCGGAAACTGTCATCGGAGCTCACGTTTGACTTTCAGATTGAATCAATAGGTAAGTTGGATTTCATTATCAATATTGACCATCTGGATAGACTAGAGAGCTGGGCAATCACCAACCATATGAAATTTAACAAGAGCAAGTGCCGGATTCTGCACCTGGGATGAGGTAGTCCTGGTTATACATACAAATTGGGGGACGAGAGGCTGGAGAGCAGCCCTGTGGAAAGTGATCTGAGGGTTTGGGTTGATGGCAAGCTGAATATGAGTCAGTGTGCCCTGGCAGCCAAAAGGGCCAGCCGTGTCCTGGGATGCATCCAGCACAGCATAGCTAGCCGGGTAAGGGAAGTGATTGTCCCGTTCTTCACGGCACTAGTGTGGCCCCACCTCGAGTACTGTGTGCAGTTTTGGCTGCCTCAATGTAAGAAGGACATCAAACTATTAGAGTGTGTCCAGAGGAGGGCAAGCAAGATGGTGAAAGGTCTCGAGGGCAAGACTTACGAGGAGCAGCTGAGGTCACTTGGTTTGTTCATCTTAGAGAAGAGAAGGCTGAAGGGTGACCTCATCGCAAGGTGGGCAGCAGATGGGGAGGTGATGATCTCCTCTATTTCGTGACCAGCGATAGGACACAAGGAAATGGTATGAAGCTGCATCAGGGGAAGTTCAGATTGGACATTAGGAAAAGGTCCTCTTCATTCAGAGGGTGCTTGTCCCTGGAACAGGCTCCTCAGGGAAGTGGTCACGGCACCAAGCCTGTCAGAGTTCAAGGAGTGTCTGGACAATGCTCTTAGTCATATGGTTTAGTTTTAGGTAGTCCTGTGAGGAGCAGGGAGTTGGACTCGATGATCCTCATGGGTCCCTTCCAACTTAAGATATTTGATGATTAAGCTTACTGTTGCAGTACAGAATTAGAGATGGTAACTGTCAGGTCTTTGGCATTTGAAACACTATCTCATGCATTTCACTGTGTGTGAGAAGGCTCAGTGAAGGGTTCAGCACACTATGTAACATGCTTCCCTAGGAGCAATTGGAATGGAGTAATAACCCTGGAGTCTTCCCTGATTAGGCCAAATGTCTTGGGAATATGATGGAGACCTTTAGCCTCTAAAGGAATACCTTAACACAACCTACATAAACTCTGAATCACTCATGGCTAACTCATTCTGCATGTGTGTTCACCCAGTCCATTTTTCTAAAGCAGCTCAAAGACTAAATTATATGATATGTCGCACTTTATGTAAATTTGTTTTCTTGTGAAAAATCTGAATGAACTAGATTTGTGAAACAGAAAGACAGAATACGTTTATTTTGACAATTCTCCAATGGTTACTTACATACCCAGATTGCATCACATGCTTTTGAAAGAGGGATGAGGAAGGATGTGTGCACAAATGGAGGGTAGCACCAGAAGAGGAGGAACAGTGGGAACAAAAAAAATAAGGAGTTGGAGGGAATTTACTTCTGAGGAGAAGCTTTAAAGTTTCGGGCACTTCCAACATAATGTCCCACAGAGAAGAGGACAAAAAACCATTGTCATGGAAAACATTACTTTCATGGCTCCTGTTGGTTAGGAATAGGGGGAAGGAAGGAGTACATGTACTTGAAGCTGCTCACTGTGGGACCTCTGCATGTGCTGTAGCCCTCTCTCTGCTAATCACAAACGAGCTACCAGTGTCCTGCTCTGGCCTGATAGTGTCTCCAAAGAGACACTGCTCTCTTTCCTGCATACCTGCTCAGAGGCAGGATGCTGGATGCAGGTGGAACAGATTCTTCCTGGGAACCTACATACTTGCCCTCTCTTTGAGGAAGGCCCTAGACCCATTTCCTTTCACAGCATTCAAATGCAGGTGTCTGTCACCACATTTGTGACAAGGGGAAGGGCTGGGAAGTAGAGGGCTCTGTAAAGCTTTGCATTGCTATTGCCAAAGGACCATATTAGCCAATAGTTGCTGGGGAAGTGAAAAATGTCACTGTAGTATCCCTGTAACTTTTCTGCTAAAATTCAACAGTATTAGAATGAGAAGGGGCTTTCCCATTCAAAGGAAAGAACATTTTTAGAACTAGACAGAAGGACAGTTTTAGAACTTTTCCTGGTTGGGTGGGAATATTTTTAAACCCTGCTCATTAAGCAAACAAATAAATATGTAAGTGCAGCTACTTTTGAGGTAGGATCAGCGATTCCTGTGAGACATTTTGCATTCTTTGTGGGTGAACATGATACAGTAAAACATACATGCACAAATTTCAAAATTGCAGTCATATGCTTTTGGCCTTAAAAGCATGAGTTGACATTATGCCTCAAAACTGATTCTAGTGTTCTTTGTTACCAGTCTGTCTACAAGACAGCGTGTTAGCATTCTGGAAACACGGCATGCAAGGAAGGAGTTTTAGATCAAATGAGGTGAGTACTGCATTTTGCTTCAAATTCTAGCTTCTAATATAAGCCAAGTAGAGGATAAATGCATAATGCTGTGGTCTGAAAAAGAGCAAAACATTTCAGTAACTTTTTAGGTTAGACCTGGAAGCTGGAGTCTCTTTCTTAGCGTGTTTCATAAGCTACAAACTAATTAGTGAAGCTATACAAGAGTCACTGTCAAGTCTAACATACAAAGCAGAAAGCAACAAGAGACCGGGCCATGATGCCATAGAAAATATCCAAGCCTAATTCTTGGTAACATTAATCTTCACCTTAAATTGCTTTGAAGACCAGTGTCAGTCCCTTAGCCTCTCACACGTAGATACCAAAATTTGGGCTTTGCCAGTCGTTGCACGCTCCACTGCTGAGCTTTAGCTTTTTGTCACAGCATCGAATGAGTTGCCTGTTGTTTTTCAGTCTCTTCCATGTTCCCTTGGCTTACAAATAGTTTGAAGATTTTAGTGCCCAACTTTCACAAGAAGTATTTTCCATTTTCAGGAGAAAAATGTCAGATTGACCTAAAGATTTTTTCTAAAATTTCTGTGTAATCCCTTTTTTCAGCCAGTTTAATGTGGTTTTTAGACATTGTTAAACCATTATAAGTAGCTTTCCAACTCCTTTTTTTTCTTGCTGCAAACCTTGTGCATCTATGTGTTAGTGGAAATGCTGTGCTTTGTAGGATTTTAATGAGTCTTTTAATTTGGTTATTAAAGAATGTTTACAACCTTCACCAGTTATTTCATCAGTGTCGCATTGGCTGAGAAATTGAGCTCATTATGACTAATTGTATTTTAAGATACATGTACAGTCACACCATGCCAAGCTTAGATATTCCACATTGCTACACAACTACATTTATTTGCACAAAGCCACAGCTGACTTAATCTGTGCTGACAGTAAGCCTGCTCTCTGTGGGAAGTTGGACCAAAGACTAGAGTCAGACTACTTCTTCTTTCAAAGTCTGCAAATGGTTTGTGTGGCATTTGTGCATGTTTAATCCCCAGGCATGATTGTCCTTCTCCCAAGAACTTACAATGGTGAACTGCAGCAACCCAGCTGTCAGCACGGATCACGAGGAGGAGATGACGCCGCTAGGCACTTCTCCAACTCCAGGCTCCTGCTAGCAGCATTCTGCAAGGCTCAGTGGATTACTCCACCCATTGGCACTCAGTAGCTCTGATGCAGTTGTTAGAGGACATGCCCCAGAGTGCTGCAGCGCAAGTGGATGCTTTATATGTAAAGCATGAGGAACACTGTCTTCTTGCTTTGTTATTGTCAAGCCAAAGCCAGCACCTAAATGAAGAACAGAAGGCAGAACTGAGCTGTTGTCAGAAAGCAAGCCACCTAAAACTTTTTCTCTGTAGAACATATCTAGGGTAAACTCTCAGGTCTTTTTAAATTCCTTACCTCTTGTGGCTGTCCTACTAGCCACAGCTATTATGAAAAAAAAAACCAACTCATTTTCGTCTGTAATATGGAAAGCCTGCATTACCAGGCTTAGATCTTGACCGTATTAGTTACTTTTGGGGAATTTTATACTATGTAGTATGTAAGAAGCGGTTACACAGGACAAAAACCTGATCAATCTAACTGTGCAGCACATTAGTCTTTGAAGACAGTATCCGTTCAGATTTCCTAATCTAATATTAGTTGGTCTAATTGGGGATGATTTGAGCTGCTTGCAAAGTTATTTCCTTCCACAACTGTGACCTTCCACAGTGGTTTGATTGAGTGGGAAGAATGAAACAGGGAACTGTGTGGATTCTGAGACAAGATGCTCAAAATTTGGGCCAAGGTTGTGCAGGCTCAGACCTACAACAAGCAGGAAGTAATTTTCTTAACAAAGTAGGGAACTTCGTTGTTGTGAATTAAAATTCTCTTGCAAGTTCTGTGTGCCAGAAGTCAATTCACTAAGTCAGCTAACACTACTAGGATCGGGGAAGGAGAGAAGAATCTCTTCTTTCCTCAAGAATGTGAAATGTGGCTGCGTAGAAAAGGAGCTTTGTAAACAGTGCTGCCCGTTCACAGTGTGACTTGATATCCTTTGGAGTATGCAGTGGGCTTCGGTTGACTTTATTGATTAACATGATGTTTTCTTTGGTGCTTTGGTATTCGTGTGATCATAAAGATGTATCACACAAGTACAATTCACCCACAGTAAACAAAGCTTTATTGCACTAGTCTGAAATGTCAAAATACTATGTTTTGTTTTCACAGAGGGCATAAGTACCACAAATTAGATTATGTTTCTCTGTTAAGGTTTTCAGAATATGAACTTACTGCATCATTACTATGATTCAGAATTTCAACTAAATGCATTTTATGTGTGATTTACCTGACCCATTTTGGATATCTACTCTAGAGTGAGACAAATTGCATCCTACAGCTACCTATTTCAGTCATGGCTGTAAAGAGAATTGCAGCAGTAGCTCAGATGCTGTGCAGTGCTGAGCCCTGCTGTTGTGCTTGCAGCTGCTAGGAGAGGAATTCACATGATGTTGCAGGAATTACAGAAAACTTTTAGATCTCATTTAAGTGACAGTTGCATTAAATTCTCTAGCTGATTTAAATCAGCAGTAAATTGGTAACATCAGTCATAGTAAATTCTTTTCTCTAGGTTGATTTTAAAAAAACAAAATAAAAACACTTGTGCTCTTAATACGTAAACACTTCTTATTTTTATTGTCTAGATCACACAAGAAATTTCTGATAATACGAGGATATTCAGGCTTCTGGGATCTGACAGGTACGAAGAGAAGTGAACATGGCATGCTAAAATACAAGAATAATGTGTGTTCCTCCTACCTTGTAAAAGTTCTTTTTGCTTGTTTCTTGTCATTCCTTTTTTAGCCATCTTACTCATTTCTTGGTGTACATGTCTACCTTTCAGCCCTTCAAGTTTACTTCTCTTTCTTCAAAAAAAAAAAAAAAAATTTTATTCTAAAAGTGTTTGTGGGCTTCCAGAAGTACTCAGCCATGCTAGCAAGCTCCTATATGGCTGCGGTCACAATCTCCAGGAGTGTCTTCCTTTTTGTGCTGTAATTCTTTTGTTTAACTTGATGAAATCTTTACTTTCACATGCTCTGCTCATCAAGATCTACTTCTTGAGACAAATGCAAAAAATACTTCAAAATTTAAATATCTCACTTTCACCCCCAGAAAGGAACTCTACCAGTTGTCCTTGCAACAAGACAGCTCAGGTCTTGTAAGAGCTCTTGATAATTCCCAACGTAGCTGTTCTTTGGAGTCTGCTTTGCAGGACACTAACACTGTGTCTGTCTGATCCATCAGATACCAGCTTGCCGAGTCAGTAACTGCTATTTTAGGAGTGTCACTGACTTCCTCAACTTTCTCTGCCCTGCTGTCGAACTTTGTACTTCTGTAACAGCCATGAAAACAGCAGATGTTTTGTCTTCTGGGGAGTGCATGCTGACGTGACGGTTTCACCAGTAATGTATTCATATGAAATGCAAAGATAGGCTTTAATTTTTCTTTTGAGAATTGCCTCTGTCTTAGAACTACCAAAAAAGCTTCACATCAACCAAAAGCTTTCCCCATATTCTGCTTCTCCAAGCTTGATGCACAGCCCTGTAACTGCCCATAACATCAACAGCAGTGAACGGTGCTGTGGCTTTATCGGCTAGCTACCAGCAATTTTTGCTGGCTGGGGGTTGAGGATTCTGCCTTACATGCAATACCTGATAGCTTTTTGGTAATGGGTAGTTTTAAGTAATACTCATCTCTGACCTGAGGGGTTTACTCTCTCTGTTCCAGTGAGGTGTGCGTGGAGCTCAGCTTTATTATGTCATTTCTCTTAGTTGTTGAGAGACAGCACAGCTCAATTTAAAAGTCTGACTTCACAATGGAGCATGACATTGCAAATCATTGCCTTGGAAAAATAATGTCCTCTACCCTAAATACAGTTCCATCTATTTCTGGCTTGCACTAGTAGTCTCCAAAGCCTGAGACAATGTTTAAAGACTTTGCACTGCAATAAACTTTAATTCCAATTTCTTCAGATACCATTTTGCTTGCAGCTCTGTCATATTTTGTGCTTGAGCTGTGAAACTTTTTTCCAATAACACATGTAATTTCCTAGGCAGTTCATAGGAACTGGGGTTCTGAGAAGCCAAAAAACTGACATCAGTCTGATAAGAGCTTGCATGTTGCTTTTTCTTGGTGAGCAGGGAATGCCTTATGTCATGAGGTGTAATTCCCTATGTGGAGCAGAGGGTAGGTTTTCTGAGCGATAGTTTTGAAGCAAGCAACCTCTCCTTCGGTGAATGCACAATAGATGGATTTCAGTTTCCCACAATCTACTTTCACTTCAGGGTGTTTGTGGAGGAGAATTCAAACATGAACATCCTGGTCCATTTAGCAGTTTTAGCAGTTCTTGCCTGATGAAAAAAATCTCAAATAGCTTGTGAAACAGAATTGTGACTGCTAATTTCTCTCCTTTGAAGAGAAAGGTCTAATCTAGAACATCCCTTATGGTCTTTGCAGTTGTAGTGTAGGTCCAGCTAACCCAGTCTCCTGTCTCCAATGTGGCCAAAACTGGGTGGCAAGAAAAGAGTAAGAGAGAAGATTCTGCACATAGCAATCCTTTCCTTGAGGACTCTCTCAGCCTGTAAGTCTTTGTCTCTGGGACTTTCAGAGCTGGAGGAAGTTTCTGTGGATTTAGGTTACATGGGCTCAGGGAAAGACTAGAAATGCTCACAGAAGAGTCAGCTTTGGTCATCTGTCGTGTCCAATGGCAAAGAGCAGACTAACGACTTCCACAACTGGTGCCTGATTAATGGCTTAGCTTTGCAGAGCTCCAGGGAAGCACAAGCCCAGGCAGTAGGGGAGTGATGGACCCTCTTCAGAAGCCCCAACTGAAAAGACAAGAGGCAACAGGCATATATTGCAGCAAGGGAAGTTCCAGCTGGATAAAAGAGGGGAAAACATCATGGTGAGGGTGGTTGAACACTGCAGTAGGAGCCCAGGGAGGCTGTGGGAGATCCTTGGAGACCTTGCCTGGACAAGACCCTGAGCTAGCTTTGAAGTTGGCCTTGCTTTGAGCGGCTTTTGGACTAGAGGTGTCCAGGGAGAGAGAAATGACCACTGGTCAGATGGATCCTGGTAAAGAATATTTACTGTTATATCCAGGGATGTTTTTAAATGAAGGCTTACTTGACGTTGTGGCTTTTTTATTTTCATTTTAGGGTCGTGGTGCTGGAGAGTAGGCCGACAGATAACCCAACAGCCAACAGCAATTTATATATCCTGGCAGGGCATGAGAATAGTTACTGAGGCAGCTCACCGTGACAAGAGAACACTCCTGCTGCAGCAGCATTCATGGCTGGCTGAAATTGCACAAAAGCTGCAGCAACCAGACTTCAGTTACTTTATAATTTATTGTGGCATGAGAGGAAGACGAGAATTGTTCGTGGTGTGGATACATAAGCATTATGATACCACAGAAGTGCTTAATTTACTGTTATGTAATCTTTGTACATATGCAGTATTTTTCAGTGAAACTTCTTGCTGAAGACCTACACTGACTTTCTGTAGATAGTGGTCCTCCTGTTAAGTACAAGTGTCTTACCTGTACAGATGTAAAAGTCACTGAGGATGCAAAAATGAAATCGGGGTACTATTTTAAGGACTTCTCATGTGTTTATTATAAAGTGGGATGCTAGCAACAAATACAGTACATTTAACAACACTATTGTATTTTATTATATGTAATTTACTAATACAAATAAATCTTAACTTTTAGAAATTATAACCAAGGCTGTAATCAGATTACAATCTTGTTTTAATTTTGATGCAACACACTGGTGTTCATGTTTGCACAACGTATTGAGATGTGATGTATTTAGTCACAAAGGTAAGCTGTGACTTTGTGGATATGACTTGGGCTTCAAACTCTCCTTACAATTACTTCTCTATGCTTGAAAATACTTTCTGGATGGGTGTCAGTCCCAGACTAGTGGTACCTGGCTGTAACACTGCAATAGGTGTTTGAATTATTAGCTGTATACAATGATAAAAATTAGTATTACTGTTCGTCTTACTAAATAGTTTCACATCACAGTGAAAAGGAACAACATTCCACATTGTGGAAGTGGCTCAAAGATATTGCCATTTTGACTTCTTTTGGCCTTATAACCATTTTCACACTTTTCTTGATTTAGGATGTTAACACATGGCCAAAATAATTTAGTTACTACCTCATTCAAACAATACAACGGTTACTAAGCATCACAGGAACCTAGGTTTGATCAGAAGTATTTTTGATTGCTATTTTCCAATGGAGTATGTAAATGCCAAGTTTTAGCAAAATGCACACATTTGACTCCTTTTTTGGTATATGTTCTTTATATTTTATTGTGATAATATACACTAAAACCAAACTAAATTTAAAGCGATTTATGGCCTGCATTATTGTTGTGATTGGAAATGCTTTGTAATGTTCCCTAATGTATATAATGTAAAATAAACTTTTTTTAACATGTTGTTGTACAATTAGATTACCACCTGCGCTAATTTTCCACATAAGACTAAAATGGAACATACTGAGTTTTGAATTCTGCTATTAAATGTTTATGCCAAACACAGAAGCTGGGCATTTCTGAATGTATGAATGGTCAGACCACTGGAGCTCAACTCAATTTAGGCTAGCACTTCAGGGTAGGCATTTGGCCTTAAGGCAATGGATGCATGTATTTGAGATAAGTCTTTCCAAATTCCAGCTTGTTTGATTTCTTCCTTCCATCACCTGCTTTTCCACCTCTGTTGATTGCAAAACTGATTTTTTTTTTTTTTTTTTTAGCAGGGCTTTTTTTCTGCCTATGGGACTCAAGTTTGCTGCCTCTGCTGGCCCCATGTCTTCTGTTCCCTTGCACTGAACCTCAGATACACCATATGGGAGAGGTGGTAATGCAAGCTCCCTCTGCTGAGAAGCTGAATTCTCAGAAAAGACGAGAACTTGTGTGTGTTTCACAGCATGCTTGTGCTGCTGCCTAAGGGGGGATTTCCATCCTGCCTCCCATGGACTATTCCTCACTTTGACGTGCAAAAAGTAGCTAAATTTTAACCAAGTACAGTATAGCTGATGTGCTATAAACATGCTTCCTCCTGTGGGGTTTCTGCAGCAGCTGTGGCCAAGTATCTTGCTGTTTGGGGCTGTTGGGCCATTACTGAATTACAGGCAACAGGAGCTAAGGGATATTGGGTTTTATTCTGGTTGAGCATTTTTAGTACAAGAATGCATGCTGGGATGCAGCTGGAAGAGCTAAAAATAAAGAGGACAGGGTAATGGCATGTGGGAAGAAGGGGAGCGTTGTGCTAGGGCAGGCTTGTCTCAAATCTATCCGTATAGCCAGGACAGCTTTGCTTTCCACATGCTGCTCTCCAGCCTAAAAGACGAGTAAGAAGTGAAGAGTTCCTGCTTTTTGAGGAATTGTCCTGTTGCAGGATTTGGGGTCTGTGCCGCAAAACTGCCTCTCCATCATCCCGAGGTACTCGGCTCCTCGACTGGCAGCTGCCCTCAGCTGACCCCAGGAGCCTGGATGTCTGGTAGAGCAAAAGGTCTCCTTTGCTAGACCTGCAATTGCCATGAATTGAAAGTTTCCTTGAGCCATGCTTGGTGGGAGCTTCCACCACCCCCATCCTGATGTAGGATTGGGATCAGTGTGGGAGCACAGTCAGAGCCAGGAAACCGAATCACAGGCATGATGAGGTTAGAGTAATGCTTCTGCCTACAGTTAGTTGACACAGCTTCTCTAACAACCTGTGTGGCTTCCCTTTTTCTGTCTCCTCCCAGCCCCTTCCACTCTGGCTGCTACCGCTGGCTTCTAGCTAGCAGTCCTAGCCGCTAACAGGCGTAACTTGTGATGTCGCTGCGCGATGGGGCATTCGCCAACCTGGCAGCAAAGTTTGATCAGTGCAGGGGCTGAGCTTGGGTCTCAGTCCAAACTGAGCTTTCTTAAAGAGAACAAAGAAGTGGGGGTATTTGGGTGTGTTGCAGAAGTGCTCCTGGAAGCTGGGAGAACAGGGGAACGAACACTGCTTTTATCCTGTTCTTGCACATCTCTCTGTGCGGTGTTGCCTGCCCATCAGAAACGGGATCTGGTGATCTGAAAAAGGGGGGGTTCAGATTCAAGTTCTGCGTCCCACTGCCCTTGACTGAAACCAAGAGCTGTGCAAAGCGAAGTACATGTTGCTGGCTGCCCATTCCTTGTAGCTTTGTCACTGGGACCTTGCGATGGGGCTGGGGGAACTCAGCAATGCTGTGAGCAGGGATGGGGATGGGTGCATCCCCCAGGCAGGGGGGTTTTCTTACACAGGGTTTTGCTTTAGCAATAGCACTGCTGGTTTTTGAAGAAAACTATGTGAAAAGGTGGGGGAAAAAGCGGGTAAAACCAGAGAACGAGCCAAAACCTCTTGCTTCCCTTCAAGGAAACACTCCAGCTTGATCTAAGATGTGGGATTATAGGGAGCCATGTTCCAGGCCTGTGTCATCTATTAAGGTGTGCAGAAGGAGCTGGGAGAACGTGTCTGGGGAGGGGGACATGGACCCTGATGGGCTCTCAAGTCCTCATTGTGGACAGCAATGCTGGGTTCGCTATCTGCTTAGTCTCATCCTCTACAATACAGCTGCATTACTGTTGCTAGAGGTCTTCCCTCCTTGGGCAGCACCTCCTTGGGTGCAGATTTTCCCTTTAGAGCTAATTTAAATCAAACACATTCAAATTCAGGTCCCCCTTGTGTTGCTCTGACAGGCAGTTACTCCTAGCAGTGTCTTGCAGGCTAAATACAGGAGTATATCATCAGCTCTTGGCAGTTCCTCCTGGTGGCGCCTCCTCACATTCCCCATGGCAGCTGCTGGGGGTAAAGGGATGCTGTCACTCTTTGTAAGCCCCCATTGTTTGGCCAGCCCTCGGGACAGTATGGCGAAGGGCTGCCATGACCATCCACCTCATCCTCCTCTCCCTCCTCCAGCAGCACTGGGGGATCCCGAGTGTCCCCATGCCACCCACAGACATTGTACACCCCCGTAAAGCTATCACAGTACTGGCTGTGGCCTTTAGTTTCTGCTCCTTCTAACAGCAACGGCAGTGAGTCTCATCTTCACTTCATGACACAGGCTCTCTGCGCCTCCCCATGCCACTGAGCTTCCTCTGTCCCCTCACAATTCAACTCCTCTGTCACTACGTCCCTACAAAAGCAGCTTTCAACTCTGTGCTCTTCCCTGCAAGAGCTTGCACCATAACGAGCACCTAGACAGCTGCAGTCCTTCCTTCAGGTCCTTAGACACCCTCACCTTGGAGATGCACACATCCATAAATCATGGTAACCACCAGTGCCTGTGCCTGAATGCGCTTCACCTGCCTGTGCTCTCAGCCACGGATGGGGCGCGAAGCCAGTGGCCTGGGACAGCAACTGCTTGGCGAACAGCGTCCTATTGCTCTCTGTTGTGCTCTGCCGTTCAGTAGACCCATACAGCTTTTCCCATCCTGCCATACAGGCTGGTTTATTTGCCACGAGCAGCAAAGCAACAACTCCTCAGACAGCCCTGGAGATAGCTATGTCTTGTTTAGTTGCTTTCAAAGCAAAACCACACCCTCCGATGCAGCACATGAAGTGAGTGAGTGTGATCAGGCGAAGGCCAGTGAGGAACCCAGACTGCCCCGTCAGCACCAATAAACCCAGGATGCCCCCAGGCAGGGGCATTGAAAAAGCACTGAAAGCTAGGAGAGGAAGGCTACCAGCTGGTGCTGGCGGCTCCAGGTGGAGGGAGAGCTCAGGCCTGGACTGTCTTGTGACCTTACCAAATGTTTGAACCGACCGAACACAGTCCCTGCAATCTCATGTTACCCAACACTGTTTTGTTTGAAGGAAAGACATGCTGTAGACCATTCACTGGTATTTAGGAGACCTAGCACCTTCATCTCCTAATGGAGGGGCTGAAGAGCAGAGCGCTGGTGCAGTTTTATACCCAGTGTTGCACATACTTGGGAGCAGCTGAAGATTTAAACTTCAACAGACTGATTTTCCATCATAAGGCAGCGAGTGCAATGGCTCCGCAGTCTATGAGACACTGTGATGGTGTCCCTGAATGCACAGGCAGGCTGCTAGACCAAGCAAATAGCTCTAAGACATGAATATTCCCGCCTTTCATCCTTGTTCCAGCACGCTCAAAGCAGAGGTCTGACTCCTTCCGACAGCAGTATCTGCCTGGAGGAAAAACGCCTGAGGCGGAGCTGCGGGGTTAAGACAGCTCCTTCTGAGAGGCTCCATCCATTTCCTGCTTAAGTACTGCTCAGCGTCTTAAGAACCCTGTCCTCAGAGCACTTCACAAACACTAATTAAGTGAGCCTCCCAACATGCATACCATTCCTGACAGGTGTCTGCACCACCAGCCCTTGAGACAAAGGGAGACTCAGCAGTCTCTGTCCAAGCAATCTGTGTGGGTACTTTGCTCTCCTCCTAGCTGGGAAGCTGGTCCTAAACCTTCCTGCCAGGGACCAGTGAAGGTCTTCATACATCTATCTCCCTTCCTGTGCCCCCCAACAGCAGCTCACTATTTCCTCTTCTGGTCCTCAAGCTCTCCCTGGCCCCTTGCCTTGCAAAGCAGAGCACAATGATTCACTTTTCATCTCCAGCATTGTCCTCCTTCCTCTGCCCTGCCACGCCCCACACACCACCATGGACTTTGTCCTGTTTAAACCACTGGGCTTTATTTGCATTCCAGCTTTGCTTTTTCTGGCCTTTTTTCCAAGAACCAAGCTTACTTTTCACCCTTAAGGCTATTCTTGTGCTACTTGATCGGGGTATTTATTTATCTCTGATCTTGGTCCCCATGAGATGATGGTGTCTTTCAAACAGGGAGTGACAGAGCTCTCCAGGGAAGAGTAACACCACC